TACTTAAAGGTTTAATTTAAATACAGCCCTGAGTTTCATGATATAATTATAATCATATCGGGTGAAATTAAAGATTATTTTATTACGAACTAACACACACTAAATATAAATGAGATGAAATTATACATATCTCGCTGCTCACCAAACCCGGGATCGGCTCCACTGCGCATTCGTGCAATTTGTGAACCCGTTTTGGTGGCGCCACCTTGTGAACAAACAGTTGTGGAGGTGGAAGTGAAACAATCTAATAAAGAAACATTGCTCTTAGTAAGGATACGATATAAGGATGAACAACTTCTTTATTACAATTAGTAGCCTCACAAAGAAGTTAAACTTTCCTCTTTTACGTTGACACGTTTTGACGTTGCTCATGCCAAAGAACATCAAACGCATTCAAAACATTATGTTATGATGACTGTATGTATTTTCACTGCGCACAGACGAAACCCAGCCCGCTCACCCATAGATCTAGAGTCAGAGAGTCAAACCAGTGGTTGATAGTGTGAACATCTATATATGGCTTCAGCTGAAAGCTGTTTTGTAAGTGGTCTTCCGGTTTGCATTATGTACTGAACATGTTTGTTTGTTGTGTGGTGCGATTAAAACCCCCAACTTACTCACTCACATCCACGATCGCACCTGGTTTGGGACCCCTGGATAAAAAAACAACAACTCTCGGTGGCTTGGCTGAGATTTCACTGCGTGGTATATATATGACCTTATTGTATTGCTATGAATCAGACTATTTCGTAGAAGTTACAAATACGCGTGTTGAGTCGCAAATCCAGTTTACTGCGTGTTTCACCAATACATAGACATTCGAGGATTACTTGTTCCTGTAGTGTATAACAGTAACTTCAAATGTCACGATTTCAGATATGACATTTGGCTACCTATACTTTACAGTGAAAGACGGGTAACGTCAAACCTGTTGTATGTCAATTTCAGGATCGTGTTGAGCTCATCTACTACGTCTCGTCATTCTTTTGTCTTCCTCTCACTAGAGAAGCAGTTTTAAAGCATGATCTGATTTACTTCACCTACACCCCGTTACACTTGGGACTGTTCATGCTCGCAAATTAACGCTCCATTACAAACCAAAACAACGATACAATTCTAGTTTTAACTGTGGCGACTTCATTTCACACTGGGAAAAATTTAATCTATGGTGGAGATCAGGAGGCGATAGGGGCTGTTTGTATTTTAGATATACAGTAAACTACGGTTATAACGAACACGCTTATAACGAACTGACGGATATAACGAACTACTTTTTTGGTCCCGACTATTTGCTGTCGTTATGCTGTATATATGCTTATAACGAACTACGGTTAAAACGAACTAAAATTAGTGGTCCCATCGAGTTCGTTATAACCGTACTTTACTGTATTTGTTTGGAATAAAATTTGGGATTTTTTTCTAAATGAAATGCGAGTGTTTATGGTACAGTTTATTTCAATGTGTATAAGAATCAGGGTGGAAAAATAACGTTTATGTCTTTTCAAAGGGATGGGATTAGGGATCGGGAACTGACGATTTCCGTCTATAAATAAAGTGTGTAGAGAAATGAAAACATATTAATTTCATATAGCAGACCATAGTCTACCGACATTAACACAATAAACAGAATAAATGAATGCATTTATAATAGTGGTTCTCCTTTTCGATTGACATATTGCCGTTAGTGTTTTTTTAAGGAGAAAACCTTCAGAACGCTGTCGCCTTGTCTTGACAATCTCGGACGCTGTCAGTGGAAATGCACTTCTGTATCAGGGACTAGGTTTCACAAGTCATTGTCTGCAGCTTTTGTCGCGCTTTTTATTTGACGAGAGTAACATGTGAAAAATAACAACAACAAAGATTAAATTAATGATTAGAACTTTAATGGAATGATTAATCTCTTTAAGACTATATAAAGTGATAAATCCCGAATGCTATCAGTTTCACAGATCTGTTTTCCTTAACACAAGAACGCAGCTGATTGCCTGCCCTGTCGTCCAGGGTAACTGTGTACAGGTAAGTCTACGAGTTCTGAAGGCGTAATCAATGTTCAGGTGAGAAATGAGCAATGAAGGAGAGGTTGCTGTCATTCGGGCCCATCTCGTGTCGGATGCCGCGGCAGTAAACCGACGACAATGGTCGGTGCTATTTTGCCCTACCAGCCTCTCAGTGACGATGCCATACTGCTTGATTGTCATACTAACGACCGTTAGGGGTGATTGCGATAAGGATCAACGGCTTTGTAGTGAGTTTCAGATTCATCTAAACCCATTTGCCTCGGGTACCCTTTTCATGCCAATGTGGAGGATTAACTTCGTTAGTGACTCGTTACGATTCGATGTATACGCACACGTGTCTGTCAACAAAGTTAAACAAACGGTGATGATTTGAGCGTTGATTTGACGTGCTCCCTGTTCTTAGGTCGGCCACTGGTAGCCGTTATATGGCAGTTGCTACGACGTTATTTCATGAGCACACGTATTTTTTGTTTCTCAATGTTCATTATTGTCTTTTTACCCCCCCCCCCCCCCCTTTTTTGTTTGACGATTGACCCTACCCTCCGCTGTACGATGTGTATATACCACCAATGTATGCTTCCGCCAAATACGATAGCTGTATCATAGTGCATCACGCATGGGTTTCCTTACTTCATTGTAAAGTCGGTATTGAAGTTCATTTGGGGGATATTTTTATGATATGCAGTCTTCACTATACAAAAACATTCCCCCAATGTATTCATGATCCCTAACTTCATGATCATAATCTATCTATCTATCTATCTATCTATCTATCTATCTATCTATCTATCATGTGTTCACGTGCTTAGAATTGCCGTGATGGTGGTTATATATGTGCATATCAGCATATCACTCAGACATTTTGTTTCCCCCGTTTACACTACGGGTGATATACACGTTTATATCACCATGGCTTTGCCTCCCTCGCTTATATCATGGATACAGTGCGTGCATCCGTGTCTTGTGCCCACACCTCACACCCAACCTACTCTTGTCAGCTCATCCGGGTGAATATATCTGTTAATACCCGAGAAACATAGTAGTTCATTACTCCAAGTATGTAGTTTGTTATCCTCTTTATGACCGGGAGTATTTTATAGATAAAATAATTGTAGATGACTGTCATATCAGGTCACAAGACGAAGAAAACCGTGAAAACTATGTCAGGTCATGTAACATTAACAATGGAAAAATCAAATGTTGAGTGAGTGAGGGGGTAACAAGGTCAATCTTGAGTGAGTCTCGTTTGACGTCATGGTACACAGTATCTCAGCCACACCACGACGTGGGATACCAAGAATTATGTTTTTTACCATGTTGGGAATCGAACCCGGGTCTACCGCGTGGCGAGCGATAACGTTAACTACTTGGCTACCGTGCCCCTACACCATGTCTTGTGATAACAGCGAGAGGCAGAGCGTGGATCACGGTATACATCCACTAACAAGACAGACGGACTAAAAACAAAGCGAGTACTACTTAGATTGCACAGCTTGATTCTTAACTCCTTTTTACCTTTATCCCCGCTCCCTTCCTCGCTTAATCTGCCGTATAGTTATGGCAGTCACGATCACCTTACGTAACAAAATGTCAGCATGGTGTTCTCTGCAAGATCGTGATCAATCTCTAAAATATTCCCATGATGTTGTAAAAGTCGAGACCAGTTTATTTATAAGTGATGAGAGTATCCTGTCAGTATTAGTCATAGTGACATTCACTATACAGTGTATGTATGTTTTTGGCATTCTATTGATAAATAATTTTGTTCAGTCGAACCAGAAACTTTGTGATATACGAGTCTTTCAAACATACTGCATGCATGTACTCTCTTTCGTTTGATATAATTGTATACATGTACTTTGGAAATTGTATTTTGTCACTTATATTTTATATCACCAGGTTACGTTACATAAATGTTTACAGGTATAGCAAAACAGACAAACAAACAAACAAACAAACAAGGTAGTGTGGCTGTGTGAATGCTGTGGCTGTATTCACTCCAACTTGGTAACAGTAACAATATACATCGAAACGTCGCTAAATGCAATAGACCAGAAGTTGTTATCCGTAAATTTATGTTTTCTTGTTTAAGTATTTTTTTAGCATATATAAATGCCGTTTGCAAAAATAACAAATGTAATTTGGGCCATGTAGCCTCACAAACATGAATAAAGAATCTGAAAAAAAAATATCTTCGTGTGGTACTATTTTTCATTTGTTTTCCAGCTTCTAACAATCCGCGTGCGCAGTTCATACAAACAACGTGTTTAAATAACAACTGATATACCTTTCGCGTTGGCGAAATGATGTGGCTAATAAGGTTCCATTATTTCCTTAAATGTTGCATCCGTGACTGTTTACAAGCCGATGTCCCCTTGCGTCACCTCCTAGGAAAAACACGCGTTTCCAGATACCCCGGTTTGTGTAGCGAACGCATAAACAACCAGAGCGTCAATCCGCTCATGAGAAAATTGACAGCGATAGAAATTTCATTCATAAACTCACCCGTAGTATTTACGCCGTACGCCACTACTACGAGTAGCGATACCTTGTTTAGACAACTGGGATCTACAAATAGCCTACGCGATAACTGATCGATTTCGTTATCGTGCAAAATCACCCCCAACAACAATTATATATAGCTATCATGACCTACTGGTTTAATTCCAAGGTTCTTCTGGTACGATAGGATTTCCTACACGGCCGTAATGTAGATTGTAAAAACAGAAGCAAACAAATACAAATCTAGGCCACTCGCTTCCTTATACAGATCATGAATAATTAATCGCGATGACGGGCACCTCCATATATGGGCATGTTGTTGAATATTGATAGAGAGATTTGCATAATAATTCACGAAGTGGCTACGGATTGTGACGTTTCGGATTCCTATGTCGAGAATCACCATATATGGATGACGTCGCCTCTCGGCTATGTTCGGAAAATCTCCGAGTCATAATCGTCCGACCAATCAGAAAAGTGGAGTGTTTAGCGACTTGTCACGCTTATTGTTATGTATTGCGATGAATGAAGAGCCGAATGGCACCATGCTATCACTTGTGTCTAGCGCGCTGCGTTGTCGAGTTACTGAGAAACTAACAGTGAGAATGCCTCGAGTTGTTTCTGATCAAAGGGCAAAGTTTGAAAACGACGAACTGTTTAGAAAACTCAGTCGTGAAAGTGAGGTATGATGTTTTCGGCGATTTTTTCCACCCGGAAGTGCTATGATTTCACGTGTTTAAGTTTGCCAAGTTGTGTTGCCCCACGGAATACCGTCACTAGATGCCAGGTTCCAGTTGTGGTGACAGAAAGTTTTCTCACGGAGTATTTATCTGTTGCAGGTGAGGTATACGGGGTTTCGGGACAGACCCCACGACGAAAGGCAGTTACGTTTTCACACAGAATGCCGGGAAGGTCACGCCGATGTGGTAAGTGTTTCTCTATGTACTCACATAACCTCTCTGTTAAAAAAACTATACCTCTCATGCCAAGTTCGAGTGCATGCTTACTCACACATGACGCGTTATTCCACTGCAGATAAAACCATCCCACGTCAGCTGGTGATGTGGGGTCAGGCTAGTGTCTACACTATAAACATTAAGTCTTCATTAAACCGCGAAGGCGCGCGACTTAAGCATAAATAACGGTATATATAGGCTTGTTTTTACCACAAGTACACAAGACCCTTGTGTGTTATGAAATGTTAAATCCAATCTAAAAAGTAATGTTAGATACAATGTGTTTTCATTCAACTATCACAGCTACACGATATAAAGCATGTATGTACATGTGTGAGATATGATGTATTATTAGCACGTTGGGCGTGACACAAGCCTTGGCCAAGTCACTCCGATACTACAGGTCCTTTCCTCAGCTACCTACGTATATTTCCGCCAGTGTGGGGTTTTCTGTGTTATTTATAATGCTGACATAAAGCGTGAACTATCGCCGGCATGTATCTCAGCTGACGGGCCAGTCGTCCGTGTCACGGCTCTCATCTCGGCGTTCAGCTCTTAAGCTGAGTCTCAGTCGCTCGACTTGACTGGATCCGCAGCCACTCCCAAACTTATCTTATGGAGTTAATTACATATTTCTTGCACTGTTTACATGTACAGTACATCCCTTGTGATTCAGTGATCTGTGAATCATCGATTCATATCGCAATGATGTATGTATTATTTTCTCTAACAGAGATATTGCTAATTATGGCACATGTATTCATCATATAGACATGTATCATTAATCAATCTATTAACTAGAACAGACACATGTCCTTTTTACCTTTACCTCTAGAATGAATGAAGATACACGGATTCTGTCATCTAACATAGATATTGACATTCATTTCAACCCATTAGTATAAAATATTTACATGACAGTTTGTTATTTCGTAGTCAAGATAATTTAGGTACGTAGCGTTGTTGTGATCATTAGGGCGTGGTTGAGGCCCATACATTATGCAATATGAAGATATGGTGATGATTATATGTGTTATATATTTATGTTTTTTTTGCTAATAGGCTTTCACAGCTACTGGCACAAATCTCCAGCTGAGTTTTGCGGCCAATGCATGGTCGGATAAACCGGAGGACAGAACACCCACTCAAGAATTTGTCAATTTCGACCGGGAACCAGGGAAGGTTAGTCACATCATGAAATACTAAAGAGATACATTTTTTTACTCCATGACAATCTTTCATCGATCTAGAGCGCTTTCTGGTTACATTCCTGAATGTCTTTCTATACAAGGATTGTTACATTGTACACACCGTGTTGTATTTTGTATTGTATGTATAATCAACGTGTGTTGACATTATTCTTAATGCGGAATCAATTACAGTCAGTATATACCTGCCACAAAACGACTGCAAAAAGGTGTTGTTTTGAGACCATTGCCTAATCATTAAATGCTGTGATTTCCCTGATATTTGTGAAGACTCGTTTCACAGAGAAACTATAACGTGTAATTATACGTATAAGCAGCGAGGGACCCCTTTTGACAATTACCTTCCATACTATCCAACGCACCCATAGTTCCACACATTCAGTGCTGAAGTCGACGTTCATCGACAAGTTACTGAAGCGCCCGGCGTTCACTTGAATCCGCCACGGCCGTCACGCAAACTGCTGGGCCGTGTTAAGTTGCATGACATTCTGTAGCACCGATCAGTCAAGGACGTTCGAAAAATGCCAGGTACTCATTACAGTCTTTGATTAGCAGTAATTATTATTTGCATTAAAGAGAATGTCTAACAAAGAACTGGTGTGATATGTTACAAATGAAACGTTTCATGAGGCTTGAGAGAACTGGGTATATTAGCGATTGTATTGTAGACCGTGAGCTTTGCTTGTAATTCGTAATACGAACATTGACTAATGCTTCATGTGATTGACATTGAATATTGTCGATTTCTTGTTGTTTGATGGTGTAAGACAGCACGTGTAGCCGGATATCAACATTATCTCATCTCACAGATTGTTGAGTAGGCGACACCAGAGCGAAACATATTCCCGTCCGTATTATCTGTAGACTAATGGGTTTGTTATGGGTTTATATGCTTGTTAGCTCGTTTGATGTTTTTCATCGGATACATTTGTGGCGAGAAATTGTTATTTCGTATAACAAACGAGAATATTGTCTTCTGTTGCACAAGTCAGCAGTGTAGGCTTATATCTCACAGTTTGGTTTGTCACGATTCACAATTAACAAAACAGGTTATTTTCGAAGGTGGTAAGTAGTTTACTGTTTATATCTCGTTGCTATGGAGACTACATCGCAGATGTTTCGTGTTGTTTACAAATGTAACATAGCGATGCTAAAAATATGTTTTTTTTAAACACGTTCTTAATCATTTACGAAGCAAGCATGCTGTCAGCGATGTTTAGCCACGCATGAATGGGGTCCCTCACTGTGCTGTTTTCCGTATCTTTAAATTCATTTCTCTTTAATTTAAATTTGATGGGTGAGAAATTATGAGGGTCGAACAAATCGTGAAATGCACACAGCTACCTGCGAGGTATTGTTCAATATTTATAGGGGGTCGATAATAGCGATTCAATAGCTTGGAGTAAACAGTTCCAAGAATATTACCCTTACATTGAAATAACACGGGTTTGTTAACTTCAAAGTTTTAATATTTACATAGCTGCGACTTTTAACTTAATCGTTTCTCGATCTGTTTCGGTCGGTGTTGTTCACGTTGATGTGAATTCGTGTCAAACAAATCGAGACTTGAAATAGCGTGTTCGCATTTCTATACCAGTACTTCCTGAAATACACTGGTTGTTGACAGACACATATTCAGGAGAATGTTTAAATAAGTGGGGGCCTAAGCTTCATCCTTGTCTCCCTTCCAAGGCTAATTTTTAAAGTTTGCCTTGTATGCTAAATGGGGTGTTTACATCATATATATATATTTATTTTTATTTGTGTGTGTGTGTGAGTGTGTGTGTGTGGGGGGGGGGGGGGGGGGGGGATAATCGGATAGATCCTTTTGACATACATAAGACATATCGGTAATCTGACAAACAACTCAAGATTTTGGGATTTAGTTTCAAATTCGCTATTTGATACCACAAACGCAGGATATCATTCAAAGAAGCGTAGTGTTGTATATAACAAACATATTTTTCTCTGGCATTGACTTTTATATTATAGTGTATGTAACAAACAAAAATCTCATATGGGTTATCATTTGTTATTGCATGTCGCTGTTTCGTTCCGCTTGATTTCAAATTCGCTTTTTGAAACAATGTAGCCTGCTGCGCCTCGAAACGTGTATTAAACGTGTACATGTATCATACAGTGTTACACATAGTTCCGTTTATTGGTATTTATAGAGGCATTGTAGGTATGGTGATGCATTTTACTTTCGGTGGTAAGGAAACGGCCACTTCCCTCCCGTAGGAGTAGTGAGTCACATAGACGCTTGGTGTGAAAGGCTTGGCGAGGTGTGCGACCCATCTGCATTGCGTGTTCTCGTAGGCTGCGAAACTCGGTTACACCTACATACGACATCCTGAATTTACACGCAGTTTCACTACTGTAGGACTCCACTGATTTTAAAAATGTTCTCCATGATATACCGTGTCCAACCTGTTTGTGGGTCGTGTAGGAATTATGAACGTATGTAGCTTATACGAAAGGATTGGTTTCCGCAAAACCTACAATCTCCTCGCCTTTTCGAGCTTAGCTTGTGTGGGAAAAAATGTCAGTGACATTTTGGATTTTAAATTGTCAAACAACATTTTGAAAAAGAATTAAGCAGATGATTCATAACATACACGTGTTAATCTCGTCATATGGACGGACACGTGTTGTATGCACTCCCCCTGCCATCAGTCAGTTCTCCTTTCAAAGTTGAATTGATGTTTAGAACGCAAAACCTATCCTGTTTTGTCATCATCCTCGACCACCACCTTCCTACCACGCCTCTCGGAAAAGGTGGGTTTCTTCGGGAGACCGTACCTCTCTACAACTGTTTATCTTTTGATAGGAACATACTATTGTGATTACGCAACGCCAATATCGAAATAAGTGTTTCCTTTTAATTTAAACGATCTCAATTAAATGTACCTTTAGATACCGCAAAGTAAGCTTTTACGGAACTTTGAGTTAGAACAAGGTGATTTTTCTTTACAAAGTGAGTTGCTCGGGCGAGTGGTTTTCAATCCTAGCACGCAACGTTCAAATAACTTGTGAACTAGTCAGTTCGTTCCGTACGGCTGTTTATGTATTTATCGTATATTTTTTGAAAATATGGATTACTGACATGTATTGACACATAAGTATGAAGAATCTGTCATTGAAATGAAATGTCTTCATCCATGATATAAGCGACGTCGCGTCCGTCCCTCGCCACGAAGGTTCATCGACAGTCTTGGAGGCCCATGCAGTGATTTTATGATGCTGCCTTGGATTACCCCTCCACCATATTGAAGGCTAGTCTGTCCAATATGTGTTTGTAGGAAACAATTCAGGCTGTTATCACTTGTTTTTCCTTAATGACACTCGAATGAAAACACAAACCTCACTTATCCATAATTGTGTGGCTGGTTAACATGGTTGATGCACTTATTTTTATGTATTCTGATGTAATCTTAAACATTCAGTTTATTCAACAGTTCATTTTCTCAATTTCATTCCAGCTTCTGGAGTTTTAATCGCAGGTTACAATACACTTAATTGATGATCTCTGGAACCATGTAAATAGCTTATCCATCGCTTTAACATCTGCACCTTAAGCAAATTATTATTTGTAAAGTTTAAAAATTAATATTCATTATGTAACCTAGGATATTACTGCATGTGGTTCCTTGGAGATGGAATGCAATTATTCCTTTCAGAGTTTGGGGAGGGGAATTCAAAAGGAATTTGATATGAAGGCATATTGCTGAAGCCTATTGACTGTTTTGGTCTTAAAACACTGTAATTAGAGTTTGCCAAACTCGTAGTGCTAGCATCAGAAGTTGGAGAACGACATGAGGTGGCATTACATGGGCGCCAAATTAATTATTCAAATTTCAAATTTGAAGAAACTCCACCATCCCAGAAAGCAACAGTGGAAACGTGCAGATACTTGAAATGAGGCGTGGGATGTTTTTTCTTGTGTTTGCTTCTTCACTAATATTGTATATTGCAGGGTCTCAAGGCACATGCTTGGTATTAATTGTCTTGCATCAAAGGTAGATTGTAATTAAACAGTAAGCTGCACATGATAAATATTTCCTACCAATGTGTCCAATAAATTATTAACTACCATGCATGCTATTGTATCGGAACAAGCCTTAATGTGTCTTCCATCTGTAGATTGCAATGGTTCAGTTCTTGTCGTTATGGTATGCTAGTGTAAAGAACATTTTTTGGGTGTGTGTATTTTTGGTGTTTGGGAGGAAAACCTTAGGGAATGCTGACTTAATTAAATGCCTGTGAAACACATTCAGGATCTCCTGACATACAATTACTGTGACAGTTGACTGGTCGCTGGCTCAGTGTTAATTCCCTGTGTGGACTTTCCTTGACATGGTGTCATGCTTCAATAAGCTTTTTTGATACTCTCCATTGATTTTGCTGATTAATTCTGATAATGAATTGTCTTTTATGAGCCCTGAACAAACATGGTGCATGCTTGACTTGATGTGTCTTTTATTGTATAATTGTCAAATATGACGAAAAAATATTTCTAATTAAACCTATTCTCTGTGTTCTGCTGACTTTCAACAAATTCTGCTGATATTTGACTATGTCCGTTGTCAAGTGGATAGAGTGGTTGTCTTGAGAGTTGATGGTTGGTGGTTCGATTCCTGGCTGTGTTACTATAAGCTGTTAGAAGATGGTACATATTGTTACCATGCCTGGCGCCAGTATTAAGGGGGTAAAACAAGGACTAGTCAGCTGGGAGTCAGTATACATTGTCTGGGTGGGGTATCCATGTTAAACTGCGGCATGGTATCCTGGAGGGCTAGCATTATGAAAATGGCATTAGTGTGGACTAGCACACACTCCCACTTTCTGTTAGTATTAGGAGTTAGGTTAAAACATGTTTGTGTTCTGCAGTTGTATTGAAGAAGAGGAAGTGTTACTTCAGTATACTGTCCAGTTCTTTCATTTTAAATCCTAATATTTTAAAAACAGTATTTC